GATAGATAGATAGATAGATAGATAGATAGATAGATAGATAGATAGATAGATAGATAGATAGACAGACAGACAGACAGACAGATTATGGATGGTTGGATGGAGACATGGATGGATGGATGGGTGGGTGGATGGAGAGATGGATGGAGATATAGATGGATTGATGGATGGATGGATGGATGAATGGGTGGGTGGTGAGTAGAGGGATAGATGGATGGATGGAGAGATAGATAGATGAATGGATGGAGAGAGAGATAGATAGATGATAGATAGATAGATAGATAGATAGATAGATAGATGATAGATAGATAGATGATGGATGGAAATATAGATGGATGGATGGGTGGAGAAATAGATAGATGATGAATGGATGGATGGATGGATGGAGAGATGGATAGATAGATAGATAGATAGATAGATAGATAGATAGATAGATAGATTGACAGACAGACAGACAGACAGACAGACAGACAGACAGATGGTATATATATATAAAGAGAGAGATTAGAAAACATTTTATTTTTTTTACAAAAATAAAGTCAAAGAAAAGAACAATAATGCAGACAGAAACATTTTGTTGCCCTGCCAACAGCTGAACCTCCTTAAATCATTTTTTTCCAGACGCCACCCTTATTCATCCTAATTCTGAAGGAGAAGCTGGAACGGTATTACACAACTATTCTTGCACGACAACCAGTTTTCCTTTGCTCCCCACCCTCGTGTAATGAGACGGTTTCTTGTCTTCTAGAGACACTCGGTCACCAAGTTCTTCGGAATTTTTCCTGCATGGCCAGTTTTCTCCTTGCGCAATCTCACGCTCCCCAAAGCCTGTTCAATTTTCAGCGACAGCTAATCATATTTAATTCCCACAGATGGAAACAGCTGCAAATTCCTTGAAGTAAGGAATGGAGAACATTTACACTTCCAGGTGTTATTATGCTACGGTTGCCAACATCTGAAGCCAGCCTAGCAAATGGAAGAGGAAGTTGGCAACCGCTGGATGACAGTCTGCTCGTTTCTGCTCCAATAAATTAATTTGGAAGCAGCTCAGTTCGATTCTGGAGGCCTTGCAGATAAGTCAGATGAGTATTTGCAATGATAACAGTAACGGTAATGTTCATCATATTACAAAAAAGATTTTAGGACTTTGGAAAAAGTGCGGAGAAGAGCAACTAAGATGATTAAAGGTGTGGAGACTGAAACATAGGAAGGACAGTTGTAGGAATTCGCTTTGGCCAGTCCAGAGAAAAGAAGGACTAGGGTGGATGTGATAGGAGCATTCCAGTATGGGAAGAAATATCTACCTGGTTCAGTTCCAAGCTCGGAGAAAGACACTGGAAACATGGAGATTGACTGGAAAGATGGTTTAATGATGAAAGAGAACCACATGGGTTTGTGGTTCTGAGCAGCTGACCACATGGAGTTGAGAGTGGGAGATGGGTTATACCTTCTCTGAGCTTTGCACTTGAGCTTCCTGTTCTTGTGCAAGAACATGTATTCTATCTGTTTTGTAAGGGTTAGGTAGGGGTCACAGCTGGCTCTATAGGCTGTCTGAGCTCCCTAGTTTGGTTGAAGTTTGGACTGCTGAGACGACGCAGTGAAGAGGCTTGTGTTCTGAAAGGGGGTTGTGCAATTCCTATTATGGCTTAATGGCTTTTTCCTGTGTTGGATCTTGGGTGAGGGTATTTGCTTATGAATAGAGCTATCTATCCAGGGGTGGGCGTGGCTTTTTTTGTTTTTTTTTGCAGCACCCTCCCCCCATTCTTTTGCCTCCTGGGCCTCAGGGGACCCTCCTGGGAGGGGGGAATTTTTGCTCCCAGAAGGCTTCCCTGGGGCTCAGGAAGGGAAAAATCGGGGCCTGGGGGGGCACAGCTCCCCCTTCGCTGCATTTTTGTTTTTTAAAAAGATTTTATTGGTTTTTAAAGACAAACAAAAACAAACAAAACATAAAAACATCCCACTTTCTTCCATAAGTGTACAAGCAGTGTGTCGGTTGGTTTACCAATTTTTTGTGCATCCATTTCATAGTCTCAATTACAGTTGCATTGCATAATAACTCATATTATCAATCAAAAATTAAATACCCTAGTATCACTATTAAACAATCATTTGACTATAATTTTGTTCATTCATACTTTGCGAGATAACTATAATTAACTTAGCTTATTTTATAACAATTCGTATAATCCTCCCAAATCTATCTAGAAACATTTTATAGGTATAATAATAATAATAATAAAAAGAAATACATCTTTACATATTCATTGTTTTCTAAAATTCTACATATTTTAATATTATATTTTATTGTCTAACCATTGATAGAAAAGGTCCCAAATTTTGTAAAATTGTTTATCCTCTTGCTCTCTAATTTCAAATGTCAATCTATTTATTTCAGCACATTCCAATATTTTCTTAATGGTTTCCTCCTGCGATGGTATTTTCTCATTTTTCCAATTTTTAACAAATACAATGCTAGCTGCTGTTAATCCATTTACAATCAAATATTTTAAATCTTTACTGTATGTATCAGGTAGAATTCCCAATAAAAATATCTCTGGTTTCAAATCTGTGTTTTTTTGTCATTTTTTTCCAACCACATGTGGATTGCACTCCATTTTTGAACCTCCTGGGCTGCAGGGGAGCCTCCAAGGGGTGTATCTGTGCTCCCAGGAAGGCAAAAAATGGAGTGGGGTGTGTGTGTGCAGCTCTCCCCCCACGAGCACCCCCCCTTGCCTCCTGGGCTTCAGAGAAGCCTCCTGGACAAAGCAGTGAGACAGCGAAGGGGATCCCGGCACAGCTGATCGTCGGAACAGCCGATCATCGGAAGAGGGGAAAAAGAAATACCTTAAGGAGTGACTGGGCGGGGGAAAAACACAGTCAGCAATGTCGGGCATGTGCGCCAGGTTGCACCTGTGTGATAAGGACTGACTGGCCAGGGAGGGGAGGGGAGGGGAGGGCAGAGAGAGGCGGGGCCAGCCAGGGGCAGATTTGCCAGTTCTCTGAACTGCACAGAATCATAACAACCGGTTCTATAGAACCAGTGTGAACCAGTAGAATCCCGCCCCTTTATCTATCTCTTTGTCTCTTAAGTGGTGACATCTGCTGAGGGCTATTAAGAAGAGGGGGCTGCTTTCTGTCTCAAAAAAAGTATGTTTCTCCATTTTTCCCTTTGAGGAAATATAATAATCTGCCCTCTTTAAAAATAGCCTTCCTCAGAATATTTAATTCTTTTAGGAGGGGGTGGCTTTCCATATCAATATTTGAGGGGCCCCTACAAAGAAGAGGCGAGGGTCCATTTATTTTCTAAAGCCCCTGAAGGAAGGAGAAGAAGCAATGGATGGAAACTAATCAAGGAGAGAAGCAACCCAGAACCAAAGAGAAACTTCCTGACGGTGAGAAGAACAATGGACCAGTGGAACAGCTTGCTACCAGAAGCTGTGGCTGCTCCATCACTGGAGGTCTTGAAGAAGAGATTGGATAGCCACTTGTCTGGAATTGTTCAGGGTTTCCTACTTGAGCAGCGGGTTGGACTGCAAGGCCTCTAAGGCCCCGTTAACTCTGTTACACTTGTTATTCTGCTTTGTCCTTTCACCCCTCTGTAGCAAGGACTCGTTTCCTTTGGCTGCCTAAGGAAGGGATGAGTGTGCCAAAGCCTACAATTAGATAAGTCACTGGAAGAGAAGAAAAGAGATAAAGGCTGTGAGCCTTTGACATTTAAGACATTTTAAGGAATCTTTGTGCCAAAACTAAAGAAACCCATTGCAGGCTATTTTTTTATTTTTATTTTTTGCTAATATCCAGCATTGATATTCGCATGTGCTTTCCCTTAGAATAGGACCAAAGCATTTTGTTTGAACACGAACCACACTGATTCTTCATTGTAATCCACTGTAAATAGCAATAAATGTCATTGCTGATTAACTTCCCAGCTCTTTG